GGTCTTAACTTTTTCCTAGGTGTATATATATATATATACGTTTCCTTTAAAATGACACAACGTGTTGAAATTAAACAAAACACAGTTTCTGCATTACTATTTTAAGCCTAAGTTTTTAACAAATAAATAGCTACATATAGTTTCATAAAGAAAATTTTACAACGTAATTAACCATCCTGGTCAAGTTTTAGTAATAAATACTTTTTTATTGATTATCTATGACAGTTACTTAAACTACAAAATTATTAATTTTATGAAATGTTAGAAATATTTCAAGGTACATAAAATAAATAAGACATTTAAAGTAATTAATGTATTAACGAAGACTAAATACAATATAATACACTACAATTCATATGAGATATCGTACAATATTATTTTTGGTTTAGTTCTTTAGATACACATTTCTATCCAAAAATAAAAATGTATGAATATCAAACGCCCTAAAATAAGTAAAATCGATCCTAAATTATTATCTAAGCTTACTGCTTACGTTATGACACACTTACACAAAGCGTTGATTGCATGGCTGGAAGAAAACGCTGTGACACATAAAGTTACGTTTTTCTGTCGCAGAATTTCATCGGTAGAATGTTACTAAAACGAGCGAATGCAGACTTGAGAAACTTTTAGCAGCCGCTGAATAAATTCCATCATAAATACTTTCAGTAGGCTTAAGCAACACATCAATGCATTCCGTACTATGTCGAAACGGAAATGAGGATCATTTATTCTACATGTTAAAAAATATATCTTTACAAAATGGTATTCTATCTTAAAAGATCTAGACGATCAGACATGCGGTATTTTCGAAAATCTAAATAAGTTTCATAATATTTTATTCTGTCCTGAAAACTCGATTGGAATGCAAGGTTTCTGGTCAAATGCTGCACTAGTGTAAAGCGCTAGGACATGATAGATCTCACAGCTTGCATTTCAACAGGAAACATAATACGTTTTGATGGCATATTCCATTAAATCTTTCAGCGATAAAGTCGGAGCGATACTTGTCATCGACGATACATTTGGGCAGTAAAAGTATCTCATTGTTATTTTTTTATATATCAGTATTTTTTAAAGGTATTACCATCGAACGAAATAACCGTCCCTATGGGCTGAAGCTGTTCGCACGTTGTATAAAATTTTAAGTTAGATGATTATAATTTTATTCAGAACACAAAACCGAGTGATTTAAAGTGTGTGATAGTGTTTAGAGGTGCGAAACACGCTTTTAAATTGAGAACCTGGAGATAAGTATATATATATATTTCCTCCTCTTTAGTTCCACCTGCTGATCCTTTAGTGCTTAACGAAGAAGGCAAAGAACTCAAAGGAACGATAGGTCCGTTTAATGAAGGTGATACGATCAAGCTCCTTTGTAAATCTATTGGAGGTAAGACACTCGTGATTTCTTATCATTATGATGTAGATAAACAAATATAAATAAATGGAATGATATATGTATTGACTGACGGAGAAAAAAAAAGACAGTTAGACAGATATAAATTTTCGATAAAGGTAACTATCACTTTATGATGAACTTACCTATTTTCTGTTGTAACGAACGCTAGTTGATATAGGGGATTATGAGAAATATTTTTGCTAATCGCATTATAAATCCCGTTCGTGTTGGTTCATATTTTCATAACTGTTTCAATAACGCCCCCCCCCCAGTGGCCCAGCGGTATGTCTGCGGACTTGCAACG